GACAGAGTGGGGGTGGACCCTGACGAGTCATCTCAGCCAGGAGCCACTCAGGAGGTTGGCAGGCGGGGAGGGACAGAGGGTTGTGCAGGGACCATGGCCTGGAGTGTGGGTTCTTATCTCCCGCTGTATGGAGTGGCTCAACTCTCCCAGCATCTGAGACCTTGAAACCCACCTGCCCCTGCCTACTCCAGCCCGGCCAGCCTTCTCAGGGTCTGTCCCCATGTCTCTGAGTCAGTAGGTGTGAGTCACTGTGTCTTGGGTGCTGACTCAACTTCGACTTGGCATTCCCCAAGGAGAGGGACGGGGATGCCATCAGCCTTTCCTGTCTTTGTGAGTCCCTCCTCAGGCCTGAACGCGTCACAGTACGTCACTCTGCGTTCTCCACAGGACCTGTTCCTTCTGCGTTCCCCAGCACCTAAGGAGTCACCTGTGACTCCCCTTCCTCTCTATCTCAGACACTGTCACTGCTTCCTAAGCCCTCTCCTGCTCCTGCTAATCGCCTGGGCCCCCAGCTCGCACAGCCACCAGCAGGTCAGATCACTCCTGGAGGAACTCTCCAGCAGGTCCCCAGTTGGCCCCGGGGAAAAGCCCAGCAGGCATTCTGAGATTGGGCTCCTTGGGTCCCACTCGGGCTCCACCACTCCGCTCAGGCGGGCTGGCTTCCTTCCTGTTTCCTGAGCATACTGAGTATGTTCTCAGGCCTTTGCACCTGAGGTTGGTTCCCTCTGGACCCACATCCCCCAGAAACCCACAGAGCTCTCCCCCGCATCCCTACTTGACATCTGTACTCGAAGGATTGCTCTATCTGAAATGCAGCCGTGCCAGCACACCCTGACCTTCCCTCCTGCTTAAGTTCCTTCCTAGCACACTCGTTGACCCACTGCAGGGCATCTGCTTGCCCCTCGGGACCTCGTCAATCTCCTCTGCAGAATGTCACCTCCAGGCACTGCTGGGCTCCTCCAGAGCCCAGGATAGACCTGGCACACAGAGGTGTTCAGTAAACACATGTTAACTTCTGCTGGGTCTAAGAGCTCAGTGAAGAAAGTCCAGGAGAGTGAACCTGAATTCAGGTCCTACTTGTGTGTCGTCATTCGTCACTCCAGAAGGATGGTCTTGCCATCAGAATGCTTCATTATTTTCCAAACTTTAGAGTTTCACCTACAATCTTTAGGCCTTTTGTTCTGTCTGCAAACCATAAATCATTGTATTTCATTCTTTCTTTTTATCTGCCAGAGGACATATGCACTTGCCACAAGACAGAGAGAGAGGAAGAGCGAAAGCACGCCCTCGCTGGAGGGTGGCCCCTCTGCCATCCCTTCCCCATTTCTCCATCTTGTTGCGATGTGGGGCATGCACACACATATGCCTGGCATGTTTTTTAAGCCAGCAGGGTCAGAACTCAAACCATGTGGTTGGTCATGTGGGATCCAGTCCCTTTAACCACCAGACCACCAGACTAACCTCGTATTTAATATATTTCTTTAAATCAATTCACTGTATTGATTTTTTTTTTCTTTTTAGTTTGTTTTAACTTAGCCTTATCCTAAGCTTTTATCAAAAGCATTGTAAGTCCGGTATGCTGGTTCCCTTGGGTCCTGATACATCCTAAATGAAGCGTAAATAGTAGCATGAAAGTCACTCCCCATCCTCGGGATCATCTCATGCACCACGGGGCACTCGGGCCACACTTGAACGGCCCCGGGTAATTCCCCGTCCTGGCTATTGACACTGCTCTGCTCCTCAGGGCAAAGTCCTTAGCGGTCATTCCTACCAGGCCAGACCTGCTGGAGCCTGGGTCTGTTGTCAGGGGACAGGTGTGTCAGGGTGGGCCCCGAGTGTCTGTGCAGGATCTCTGGACAAACGTTCCATCCTGGTGGTCGAGAGGGTCCTTCCTGTTCTCTGCCTAATCTTGTGCCACTCTCCCAACCTCTCTGGTCATGCTTCAGCTCCTGAAATTTTGCCAACCATGTTCCCACCAGGGACCATCACACAAGCGTGAATGTCCTCCCATGGAGAAGTCTCCCCTGGCCCCTGAGACCCTAGGTTGCGTGTCCTTTCTGTGGTCTACCTTGGGAGCAGGTGACACAGTGCAGTTTGGCGTTGTGTGTGGAATTACTGATCTCGTGTCCCTCTCCCCGCAAGACTGAGCTCTGGAAGGAAAAAGCCACACCCAACCAGGCCTGGACAGGTCTCTCTCAGGAAGGGTCCCCCTTCCTGCTGCTCACAGCCTCGCCTACCCCGACGTCTCTTCCTTCCTTCTGCACGTGGACTTTCCATCCCAGCCTGAGTGACCCTTCTCTCCCAGCTTGGGCTGGTTACTCCTCCCTCTAGGCTTTACATTGTCTCTGTCCTGTATCTTCCATCCAGAGAAGAACTGCTGTCTTAGACACTCTGCCCGAATTGCCTGCAGTCCCACTGTGGTTCCTGACTGTTCCATGAGCATCCTGGGACCCCACGAGCTGCCGTTAGTTCTCACCACAGTGGCAGTTCAGCACAGCAGTGAGAGTGCGGCCTCTGGAGCCAGGGGTCAGGGCTCGAATCAGGCAGGGGTCAGGGCTGGCCTAGGAATTTGCCTTTCTAATAGGTTCCCAGGTGAAGCTGACGCTGCCGGCCAGGACTATTGCCAAGGTTGGTAGGGAAGGTAAATGAAAACTGGGTGGACTCATGGCAGAGGGGAGGCACTCGGTGAATATTGACTGTCAGCGTCATTTAGACCAGAGGATCTGATCCTTTGCAAATTTCTGATGGATGTTATAGACAAAGTGCATTTTTAATCAGAACTACTAAGCCCAGGGCCCGGCCATAGCATCGTCTAGCTCTGGGATCCCCAGAAAATCACCTCTCCTGCCTGAACCCAGTGTGCTGTCTCCACTGTGAGGGTCAAGGGGCCCCTTCTCAGGACAGCCTGAGTTCCCCGAAGGGCTCAGTATACACCTCTGGTGCTTAATGAATGTTTCTTTTTCCAAAGTTCGATTTAAGCTGACGAATAAGAAGTACTTAGAAAGCAGAAGATGGTTCTGATCCATGTATATTGTGGAAAGATCAAATCAGGCTAACTAGGGCTGACACTGTAGCCTAGTGGCTAAGGAAACCAGATCCCATGTAGCCAATTGCAGTTCAAATCCTGGCCCTGGCAGCTCAATAAACATTTCAGGTATGTGTATCTGCATGCCCCAAATCCTGACAGGATGAAGAGATGGAAGAGAAGGGATTGTGGTGTGGCCACGCTTCACTGGGGGGTGCTTTCTCCCTTTCCATCTCTCTATCTCTCTGTCTCTCTCTGTCTCTCTGGTGAGCACACCTGCCCTCTGACAATAAAAAAAAAAAAAGAAGAAGAAGAAATCAGGCTGACTAGCATATGCATTACTTCAAATATTTCCTTGTGGCGAGAACAACCAAAAATCCTCCCTTTTAACTATTTCAAAATATGCAGTATTATTAACTGTAGTTACCATGCTGTCCTCTAGGTTACAAAATCCTATTCCTCCTGTCCAACTGAAACTTCATGCCCTTTGACACTATCCCCTCTTTCCCAGTCCACCCCCCACCAGCCTCAGGGAACCTCTATGACTCTACTTCCATGGGGTCAGTGTTTTTAGATTCTACATACAGGTGAGATCGTGGGTGATTTGTCTCTTGTGCCTGGCTTATTTCACTTAATATAATGTCTTCTAGGTTCATCCATGTTATAGCAAATGACAGAACTTCTTGTGTTTGTTTTTTTTTTTAGAGAGTTTTGCTATAGGGCGCGTGCGCTCGCCAGACAGACAGAGAGAGAGACAGAGAGAAAGAAAGCGAGAAATCACCCCCCACCTGGGGGAATGGCCACTCTGCAATCTCTTCTCCTCCATTCTCCTCTTGGGATCTTGGGCACACACGCACACACGCCCGTCGTGAGTTTAAGCCACCGCATCTGGGACACGAACCGTGGTCGACTACATGGGAGTCCAGCAACATAGCCATTACGCCAACTGCTGGTCCCAGAACTTCTTGTGTTTTGAAGATTCAATGGTATTCCATTGTGTATATATCCTGCTTTTTTCTTTTTTTCTTTGAGAGAAAGTTTTTTTACCTTAGGGTGCACATGCTTGCTGGAGAGAGGGAGAGACAGAGACAGAGAGAGTGAGAGGGAAAGTGAGAAATCGCCTCCCAGGGGGGATGGTCACACCACAGTTCTTCTCCTCCATTCTCCTGGGATCTTGGGCATGCACACACATGCACGCGGAGTGATTTTCAAGCCATCAGGTCTGGGTCTTGAACCATGGTTGACCATGTGGGAGTCCAGCAATGTAGCTGCTATGCCATTTGCTGGTCCCTATGGTCCACATTTTAAAATGCATTCATCCATTGATTAGACACACAGGTTATTTTCATATCTTGGTGATTGTGAATTATGCTGCAAAGGACAAGCGAGTCAGCAGACATATTTCAAGTCCTTCGGGGACATACTAATTAGTATATAATTAGTGCATTTTGACCCAAATGTAGAGATGTTTGAAAAGCTGGTGCTGCAGAGGCAGCGGGAATGTGAGGAGGGTAGTCAAACTGGCACAGGAGCATGAGGCACCCAGATCTGTGGTTCCCACCCCTGACCTGCAGGGCAGAAGAGAATGTCAGTGAGTAAATCTAGCCAGGTGTGGGACAACAGGGAATGGTGGAGATTGTGGCAGATGGGGCCCATGCCTATTCCTATCAGCAAGTCATGGAAACATGCTATTGCAAGCCCAGCTCTGTCAGTTGACTAGGCAATGGCAGAAGAAGGAACGCATGAAGAGTGTGATGTGAAATCACCCAGAAATCAAACCAGACCAGGTCCACAGCTGACAGCTCAGAGTGAGAGCAACATAATGGCAGTAAGCCCAGGCTCGGGGCTGGAACCCCTGGGCCCTTGCCCCTGCACAGAGCCCAGCGAGAACGAGGAGAAGCTCTGATCACCCGGAGACAGAGGAATGGTCGGCTCCCCAAACTTGAGCCAGAAATCATCGGAATCTAGACGGGTATTTGGCTTCAGGGCATTTATTTCATGTCCCTTTTCGTACAGGTCCTGGGGCCAGGTGTGGGGGCGGGAGACCAGGCAGGGGGTAGCAATAAATAACACGGACAGACAGAGCTCCCCTCCAGACAGATGAGGTTAAAGGAGGTTAGAGGGGAGCCGTAGTGTGGGGCTGGGGATGCTGGCAGGGAGGGGGCAGCTGTGAAGAAGGGGGAGGCCAGGCCCTCAGGACCTCACTGTCTCCTGCCCCATCTCCTTCCTGCCTCAGCCCCCATTATTTTCAGGAAAGGAGCCCACAGCCAGTGGGGGCCAGCGAGGGTCCTGAGGGGGGTGGCCGCACGGGCTGCCCCAGTTTCCTCACTTGACACGGATCTCGGCATACTCAGCTAGCTCCTCCGTCAGGGTGTAGCTGTCCTTGGTGGGTCGTTTTCCCAGGTCCGAGTGGGAATAGCTCAGGTCCAGCTCTGGGGGTTCTCCCCGGAGGCCCAGCAGCCTCCTCTCAGATCCCAGGCGCTTCTCGCTCTAAGAGGGGAAACAACCCGTCAGCAGGGCCTGTTCCTACTTTTTTTCTGATGCAAAGCCTGGAGTATTTGTGCCCTTGTAGCTCCCAAGCTCAGTCCCAAAGCCCTGGGACACCAGTCCGAGAAGCCCCACGGTCGTTAGGCCTCACTCCGAAGCGTTTGCCGATGCTATTCCCTACGCGCAACAGCCTCCTCCTTGCTGAGCTGGAAATCTGCCTGCAGCTTCCATTTTTCCAGGCAGTCTTCATTGACACGAGAAATTCAGGGGCCCAGAGTTCAACCCACGACACTTTCACACATCAAAGCTACTCGGTGAGGATCCCGCCTTTCCCGGTTTGGGGAAATGCCTGTTCAGTAAGCCTTGCCCTGCTTGGCTCTGGCGGGAGCTCCCTCCTCCATCTGGAAGATGCTACAGGTATGACATCAGTTTTCCCATCACGCTGTCCCTCCTCGTCCCCCACCCCTGGGCATTTGGACACACACACAGGACTGTGCCACAGACAGCAGGAAGCAGTGATGGGACAGAAGAGACAAAGGCGGGGGCTGCCAGGCAGGGCCAGACTTCACCAGAGACCATCTTGGACGCCTGACGAGGACGCACACACATGCACAGCAACCCCAAGGCCCAGCGAGGACCCGGAGGCAGGCACACTGAGGCCCCGGAACCTACCTCCTGGGGCGCTCATTCCAGGGTAGAGACCTCTCTGGACTATTGGAGAAGGAAATGTAGTCACAGACGCAGGCAGGGGGGACCAGGGCTGCCTGGAGCCCCATACCCCAGAGCCCCATCACAACCTCAGCATGGGCACCTCCTCCCCAGTGTCCGGGTCCAGCCCATCCCTCCTCACCTTCTTCCTCTCCCCTCTGAAGGGCTGGCCTCCCCCTCTGCCCCTTGGCCCTCATGGGCCCTTCCCAGGCCCTTGGGGGTCCCTGGCATCCAGGTACCCAGCTAGCCTGGAGCCACAGGGCTCTGGCCCTCACCTCGTACTTCTCCGGCGCCCCGGAGATGCGGAAGTCGCTGCTGAACAGGACGGGGGGGTTGTCCCCCGCCGAGAAGCTGGGGCTCTCTGTCACGTTCTTTCTGCAGGGCAGGACATGTCAGCCCCAATGGGACTCCCAGGCCTCCCTCCCACCTCCCTTTCTGCACCCTCATCTACCTTAGGAGTGGGGTCACCTTGGGCCCAGAGTTGTCCCCACCCCTCTCTCTAGGATGGGAGACAGCCTCTGTAGAATGTCAGACCTCTTCCTCTTCAGCACCACCCATCCTTCCCCTGCCTCTGGGGCCCAGTCCTGGCTGAGGGCCAGCCACCGGGCCCCTGGTTTCTGCCACTTGTTGGTACTGAATGCTCTGAGCTCCCCTTATATACTCTGGGTCTGTCGGCCCCTCTTGCTGCCAGGACATGGAACAGAGAGATGAGCTCATTTTCAGGACAGCTGAATATGCCACAAGGAAAACTACTAGCAACTTAGTTGTGCCGTGTGTGTGCCTGGGGGTGCGGGTGCTGTCATTGCCACGATTGCATGTCATCTTTAGGGCTTCTGGAACCAACAGAGACTGAGGCTGTGCCTGCAAGCCAGGGGAACAAGGACTTCCCCTGCCACACTGGAATGTGCAGGAGAGAATTCTGGAGACAGGGAGGCTGGAGCACGGAACACGGGGAAGTCGGTAATGAACAATCCACGCAAAGGGCTCAGACAGGCACTGGTATGTCCCGGACCAGTGGAGGCACGCCTCAGCAGGAGCTCTGGACCCCCCATTGCACAGGACA